TGATAGAAAGATGATTTTTGTTCTCTTTGGTTTTTGATACTGAGATATAGAAAGGGCTTCAGAAGAAACTCAAATAATTCTTTTCGATAAAAACAGAAACTTTATAATGAAATAAATGTATATTTATACTATAACAGTGAGAGAGGCGAGTGTAAGTTTCTAACTTTCAGGAGCTGAAAAATAACAATTTCTTTTTCACCATGCCTACAGGGTTTTAACATGCTGTTAAATAATGCTATCCTTCACTAATATGATCATATATGTGCTGTTGTTTTTTTTCCTTTTTTTTAGCAATATGCTGCTAGTATTTATTCTGGGAAAAATGGTTATTTTAGGTGATGCAGAGGGGAGAATCCAACAGGTTGAGCAACATGAGGAAGCTGCCACTGGGCCAGACATGAAGGTTTATCATGGAAAGGGAAAGGTTGATGATGTCTTGTTTGAAGGATCTGGTGACGGTGAGGAGAAACATCAGAGAAGGGGGTTGAACAGGAACACACAGAACCAGAATCTTGTTCATAATTCAGAGGAAGAAAATGAAATTCCCATCATTCATTGGTGCAAGAAATTGAAAAGTAGGCAAATAGTAGAAATTTGCAAGTTTGATGTTGCAAATTCTGAAGAGGTTGATATGCCATGAAATGAAAGGTTTAGGTTTTATGCATCTGATGCTAGATCATGATAATGAAATAAATAGTTAAGAAAAAATAAGTTGAGTAGACTTCATTAAACTCGAAAACAATGTTTCATTGGATTTGGGTTTTCTTATCATGTTAAATGCATTTGATTTGGTGAAGGTGAATTTGTTATAAATTTGGTATTGTTTTATGCCATGTCCATGGCATCGTATGCCAACATCAACCATTACTTTGTGAAACTATATAATCGTTTGCATAATGTTAATTGAAAAGCTAGCATTTCCTTATTTTTTTTCTCTCTTTGGTGGCAGACAAAGGATGCCTTGTCTAGTTGTGTGGCAGGTTTTATTGTTGCAGAAATTAAAATCGTCACAAAAACTATGAGTTGAAGGTTCTATGGTAGAAACAAAGCACGTTCTTGCATTTGGTAATACTATTACCTTCTTTACATTTTGGCATGCACATCAACAGTGCTGTGCCGATCCCTTCCCCATCTTGCGTATTAAAAAAATCCATTGCCTTGACTTGTTCAGGGTTAACTGCCTGGAATTGTTGAGGGCGTTTCCTCAAAAATCACTTAAAAAAAAAAAAATACAATTTATGGTGTAAACAGAGAACTATGGCCTTTTTCAAGTCTTCTAAGACCAATTGCCTTGCAAGACGGGCTTCTCTTACTGACGACTGCGTACTGTTTCTGCATTATGAATGGTCAGATGCTAATAAACCGATATGACCAGGCGTTATGTACGGCAAATTCCCATCTTTGCAAACAATTTCTTCACACGGTGAGCCCACCTCAGATTCATTTGCTGAGACTATGGAAAAGTCGTAGAAGAAAACTATGGAATTACGGAAATGCCAAAAAGTTCCAACTAGACCCGTAGAACAGAAAGGGAGTATATTTACATGTAGCCCGAGCCTTGTTTTCTGCAAAAAATTTGAAAGTCTGCTTCTTATATCCGTTTTAACTATGGGTTTTGCTTCTGCATTTTATCTCTGTCTCATTCTAGTTTTCCTGCTGCCAGTTTCTGTTGTAGCTCAAACATCTCAGAACATAACATTGGGCTCCTCATTAACTGCAGCGCTCAATCAAAACGATTCCTGGAAATCTCCATCTGGTGATTTTGCATTCGGCTTCCAAGAGGTAGAAGCTGGAATGTTCTTGCTTGCCATATGGTTTGAAAAAATACCTGAAAAAACCATTATTTGGTCAGCCAATGGCGGAAATCTGGTGCAACAAGGATCCAGAATTCAACTTACAACAGATGGCCAGTTCAGGCTCAATGATGAACAAGGAAAGCAAGTATGGGTGGCAAGATTGGCTGGAACTGGCAGTGTTTCTTATGCAGCTATGCTTGACACTGGAAACTTTGTGCTGGCAAGCCAGGACTCAACCAACTTGTGGGAGAGTTTCAATCTGCCAACTGACACAATAGTGCCCACACAAGTATTGAAACAAGGTAGCAGTCTCATTGCCCGTTACGCAGAGACAAATTATTCAAGAGGAAGATTCACTTTCGAGTTGCAATCAGATGGGAATATAGTAATCTTCTCCACAATTTTACCTCCAAATTCAGTGAATGGAGGGCCAAAAAAAAGTACAGAAAATGACCCTCCTTACTATAGCACTTATACTGTAGGCAGTGACTTACAGGTTATCTTCAACCAGTCTGGCTCCATCGACCTGGAAGCAAAAAGTAGAAGCATACTCAGGAATATAGTACCAAGTAGAGTATCAGCAAGCAACTCCTACCAGCGAGCAATCCTCGAATATGATGGTGTCTTCAGGCAGTATGTCTATCCAAAGAACAATAGTGTTGCTGCTGGAAGGCCTATGGCCTGGTCCCTGCTGTCATATGTACCAGAAAATATTTGCAAGAACATCACAAGTGGAGGTAGTGGGATTTGCGGTTACAACAGCTACTGTATTATAGGAAATGACCAGAGACATAAGTGCTTGTGCCTACCCGGTTACTCATACTTGGATCCAGATGATGAACTAAATGGATGCAAACAGGATTTTGCCTCACAAAGCTGTGATGGAGGCCACGATGCAGCGGATCTTTTTGATCTCCAGGATATGATGAATGTAGATTTTGTTAACCTTGCGCCAGAATACGACTATTATGCTGAGGTTACTGAGGATTGGTGCAGACAAGTATGCTTGAGTGATTGCTTTTGCCCTCTTGCAGTCTTTAGATCTGGTGATGGGGGCTGCTGGAAGAAGAAATTTCCTCTTTCCAATGGGAGAATTGATACTGATTTTGTAGGAAAATCATTTGTCAAGATAAGGAAAGACTATTCTACAAAAACACCTTCTGATGAAGGTCCAGGCAAGGGTTCAAAGAAGAAGAATAAGTCAACTCTGAATCTTATTCTAACTATGCTCTTAAGCAGCTCAGCATTTTTGAACCTTTCTCTGTTGATTGCTACTCTTTGGGCTGTTCACAGAAAAAGAAGGGTGATTCTGGTTCAACCCTCCAGAGCAATCCAAGGCATGAGTCTACAAAGCTTCACCTATAAGGAGCTCGAGGAAGCTACCAACAAATTTGACGAAGAACTTGGAAAGGGCGCTTGCTCAACAGTTTACAAAGGAGTTTTAGATATTGGTAATAATAAGAATTTGATTGCTGTCAAAAGATTGGACAATATGGTGAAAGACAACGACAAAGAATTTCAAGCAGAAATGAGTGCAATTGGCAAGACAAACCACAAGAATCTTGTACAGTTGCTAGGATTTTGCAATGAGGGACATCATCGACTTTTGGTGTATGAATACATGAGCAATGGATCTTTAGCATCTTACCTCTTCGAGAATTCAAGGCCTAGCTGGTATAAAAGAACTGAAATTGCTTTTGGAACTGCAAGAGGGCTTGTTTATTTGCATGAAGAGTGCAGCAACCAGATCATACACTGCGACATCAAGCCTCAAAATATCTTGCTAGATGACTCCTTCACTGCAAGAATTTCAGACTTTGGATTAGCAAAACTTTTGGAGAAAAACCAGACACGAACTCTTACAGAAATTAGGGGAACAAGAGGATATGTTGCTCCAGAGTGGTGGTTCAGAAACAAGCCTGTCACAGTCAAGGTCGACGTTTATAGCTTTGGAATTCTGTTGCTAGAGCTTATTTGTTGTAGGAGGAGTTTTGAGCAAGATGCAGAGGATGAAAACCAAAAGATATTGGCTAATTGGGCATATGATTGCTATGAAGAAGGGAGAATGCCACTGCTAGTTCAGGAAGATGAAGAGGCAATGGAGGACATTAAGAGAGTAGAGCAGTTTGTGATGATTGCCATTTGGTGCATCCAAGATGATCCATTGCTGAGACCCACCATGAAGATAGTCTTACAGATGCTAGAAGGAGCTCTTGAAGTTCCTTATCCTCCCATCAATCCCCATTCATCAGTTTGAATTAAATGTACAAAAGCCTCATGATAAATTAACATTCTTCTGAAGTAATTTAATGGAGTGATTTGCAATCAATCTTGTATATACACTCTGTAGCCGAATTACATTTAACAACCAATTTGAGAAATTAAAGATCAGATAAATTAAGGTATTTAATCCTCTTCTTTTTCTTTTCATTTCTTTCTTTCTTTCCTCTCTCTCTCTCTCTCTTTTTTTTTTTTTCTTTTTGTCGATGCAATATCTTGTCCTCTTATTAGCCACCTGCAGAATTCACCATTTATATAGTTCCTAATAAGGTTTGGAAAAGGTTATGCCTTGGCCCTTGGACATTACAAAGGTCCTTGCTTTGGGGCCAAAAAACCCTGCCATCATTTTCAGGCTCCCAAGTTTAAACTATTTCTCTCTATTTCCCCGGGGTAGCAGTCTCAATTTATGTCTCCCCCTTTTACAATTGTCAAAACTCCAATTTATAATACATATAAACCCTAGAACCTGCCGATGATGCTGACTGATGAGCATGAGGAACTAATGACTGCATTTAGTTTCTGTTATTAACGAAATCGACCCTTCCGTAAGGAAAAATGGCAAAAATTTTATATTTACCCCACCACTTTCAGTTATTATTGAAATGAACCTTGTACTTTTTTTAAAAGTAAATTTTTTTGCATACCTTCTTCATTTAGGTAACAACCATATCAGTACTTACTACTTAGTTAACGAGAGGACCAAAAAAAATATAATTTGTAAAGATGAAAGACCAAAGTGCCGATAATAGTTTAGGAACCGAAAACATTCAAAATGAAAAGCTCAAAAACTAAAATTAATAGTTAATCACATTTGGAATGAATAATATGAAGAAAACCAATAATAAGAGTATACTACACTAACTATTGAATGAAGGTGGACTCTTTAATATTAGAAGTCCTCATTCTTATTTAAGAATCTTTATTTTACAATTCAATACATTTTAGATTATAAAATAGGATTCTTTCCCTTTTTAAAGGTTTTGTGCTATACAATTAGAAATATCTTTTTTCTCCAATTGCATGCAATGTAAATTGTGAAAAATATTGGAATATTCTTATTTAATAAAATTTATTAAAATTATTTTAGTATCTCGAATATCTAAACCATATTTTTTATGCCG